CTGGGGGTATCGGCCCCGTGTCCTGATGGGGCCTCAGGAGCCTGGGATCTGGGAAGGAGCGGCTCTCCCAGTGCTCTCACGGCCGATGCCTGCTGAGAGAAGCCAGAGCGGCGAGGTGGCCCGTGTGGGCACCCGCATCCCGGAGTGTGGGCTGGACAGGTCTGGGTGGAGGCTGCTGTTTGGGGTGGTGGGCGAGCGAGCGGTCTCGTCCCTGTGCAGAGTTCTCGCAGTCCCACCAGCACAGGGACAGCCCCGGGAGCGTTTTGTCAGAGGTCACTGTGACACCAGGCTGAGACCTTGGAAGCGTGTCGGGGCGGGCGGGCTCTTCCTCCTCGAGAAGCCCCGCTGACCGGCGGTGGGATTTCCTGATTTATGACGCGTGGCACCTTACTGAAGTGTGGAAGTAAGCCCTCTTTGGCCGCCAGCCCACCATCAGCCTCTGGGGAGGAAGTGGGGTGGCATCATGTTGGTCCTTGGCCATGCATGAGGGTCGGCCTCTCTTCCAGTCCCTGGTAGACATGGCCCCCAAGTACATCCTGGAGCAGTTTCTGCAGCAGGAGCTACTCATCAACATCACGGAGCACGAGGTAGGGGGCTGCTGGGGGACGGCAGAGGTGTGGCCCCCGGCAGATCGTAGGAGGCAGATGGGGATGTGTCCGGGCACTGGTGCTCCCTGTTTGGGGGTGAAGATCTCCCAAGGAAGTAGAGCGGGGGTCTCCGAGTGTGGCCCTGGGTGGGAAGCAGCAGCATCGCCTGCGAACCTGCCACGAGTCAGGAAGCTGGGGGGCAGGGGGGTGGAATCTGCTGCCCCAGGGGTCCCCAGATTGTGCCCCACGGCCCATCTGCATGAGCTGCAGGCTCTAGTCCCTCATCCACGTGTGGAGCCAGGAGCAGGGCGGGACTGCAGCCAGGGCCTCTGTGACGTCCCTGAGCGCCTTGGGTGGGCGGTTCACGCCAAGGAAACAGCCTGCGGCCCGCCCTGCTCCCCTTTTCTGTGTGGGGGTACGGTGGGGTCTCTCGTACCCCTGGAGACTCAGCTTCTCCTCTTGGCAGCTGGTCCCAGAGCACGTCGTTATGACCAAGGAGGAGGTGACCGAGCTGCTGGCCCGGTAGTATCCTTTCGGCCCCTGCCCTGGCCCCTCTCCTCCCCTCCCACCCGCACACTCTTACTCGCACCCCAGCCAGTGGAGCCTGGGTTTTTCCCTGACTGAGCTTCTCAGTAAACTCCGAGAGAACCAGCTGCCCAGGATCCAGGCCGGAGACCCGGTGGCCCGCTACTTCGGGATAAAGCGCGGGCAGGTGAGACGTTCCACCCCAGCCCCCTCTAGAGCCAGGGCCTCGCTTACGCCGGCTCCTCGCCCAGGCCCAGGGTCCACTGTGAGGCCCCGCCCCAGCCCCTGCTTTCATGTGTCCACAGGTGGTAAAGATCATCCGGCCCAGTGAGACCGCAGGGAGGTACATCACCTATCGGCTGGTGCAGTAGCCGCCGGGCTCACAGGTGAGATGTGCGCTGTGGCCACGGGGCCCGACGGGACGGGGGTGGGGGGCTCTCCCTTTTGGGGTGCAGGAAGGGCCCATCCAGGAGTGAGCCCCGTCTTCCCATTCCCCCCCAGTCCTCTGTGTCACCTCCTGGGGGGCCTTGTCGGCAGCCCCACTTCCCGCTCGGCTGGTCTCACCTCACACAACAGATGTAACACGTGGTCGTCCTTCCTTCTCTCTCCCGCCCTGCGGCCTGGAGACAGATGGGGCTGTGGCCACCGCCGCCGCCCCCCAGGAGCCCCACCACTGCTGCTCTGGACCCCGGGGCGACCTCCCCTGGATGCTGAGCCCCACCCTGGACCCTGCGTGACCGTGCCTCTGGAGGGGACAGGATGCCACGGGGAGGCCTGCAGCAGCCGGCGACCCACAGCAGTCCTGGCTCAAGTCTCCGGCCAGCCCCCACCCCTGAGGCCGTCTGAGCACACCCGGGGGAGCAGGGAGCGAGTTACTATTTGATGCTGGGTGTTTTTAAAAATTAAAAGTATTTGTGCAAGTAAAGCGGCTTATCTGGAGAAGCAAGGCAGAATGACAGGCTTGCAGTGAGTGGCCTTGCTCGAGGCTCTAGACCCTGGGCCTGCCCCGCCCCCCAGGGTGGCCGTGTCCAGGCACGTCCCTGTCCAGTCTTTGGTGGGGGTGGGCAGCGTGGGGCGGGGCAGGGCTGCTGGGCTGCTCTCAGCTCTGTTCCCGGTGTTTTCCTTGCATCAGGGTTTGTGGTCAGGTTATGCAGTTTCCCCATTAGTGTCTAGTTTCAGAAGGCCTTCCTGGTTCGGGTTAAAAGGTTTGCTTTTCTTTTCGTTTTAACAACGGCTTTATTGAGACCTAGTTCACGTACCACGGCGTATGCATTGGCAGCACACCACTCGGTGGCTTTTAGACCTTGTCATCACCCCGAAAGAAACCCCGTCCCCATCAGCCGTCACCCCTCCCCAGCCCCCACCCCCACGAGCCCCCTTCCCGTCCGCGGACGAGTCTGCTCCGGACGTGTTACCCACGTGGACTCACACCCCGCGTGGCCTTGCGTGTCCGGTTCCCTCCCTGAGCGTCGTGGGGTCAGGGTCCGTCCCCGGGGCCGCGTGTGTGGGCGCCTCACTCCTGTCCGCGGCCGCGGGACGCTCCGGTGCGTGGGGGATGTGCTGTGTGTTACGTGTCCAGCTGCGCACCCCCACATTCTACTTAACCCATTTACCCTCCGCGGACACTGGGTTCATCCGTTTTCGGCAGCGACTTGTGAATGACGTTGCCGTGGGCGTTCGTGTACACGTTTTGTCTCGACGTGTGTTTTCATTTTTTCCGGGTGTGTATCTAGCCGTAGGATTGCTGGGTCGTGCGGAAGCGGGTCACCGGGTGGAGAAACTGCCAGGCTGTTTGGCGGCCCGTGTCAGACCCGCACGGCCTTGGCAGCGCTCGCTGCGGTGAGGTCGGCCTCGCTGTGCGTGGGATGCCTTCTCCCTGATGACTAACCACGTGAGCTGTTCTCTTGGCTCAGAGGCCACATGCATGTCGTCTGTGCAGGAAGGTCTGCCTGCCCTTCACGTGCCGTGTAGTTGGGCTGCGCGTGTCCCTGTCGCTCCCGGCACGCAGCCACGGGTGTGCATGTGTGTCTCTCATCACATACACACTTGGCGGAGGTGTGTTCTGTGATTTAGATTTCTCAAAAATCTGTTCATAAGTTTGGTGCATTTACACGTGGCCTTAAATTCTGCGATGGACTCCTGGGCCCAGTGTGACACAGGGATGCACTTTCCCCTTGGACAGACCGGGCTCTCGATGCCTTGTAGGATGGCCAGTGGGTCCTCCTGTGCATGCACACAGGTCCTCTCCCACGGATCCATCCACCTGTGAAAAGTAGAGCTTGTCCCCTGCCCCCCCAAATACACATGCGCTGTTTTCCAGAGTCAGCTTGTCCAAAGTAAGCCAGACCCCAGGAGGTCCCCGGAGGAGTCCCGTCCACACAGAGAGGAGAGGGTGGGAGCCAGGGCTGGGGCAGGGGGTGGGGAGTCCGTGCTTCACGGGGACAGAGTCTCCGTGTGGGGAGATGGAACGTTCTGGAGACGGAGGGTGGGGGTGGGGAGTCCGTGCTTCACGGGGACAGAGTCTCCGTGTGGGGAGATGGAACGTTCTGGAGACGGAGGGTGGGGGTGGGGAGTCCGTGCTTCACGGGGACAGAGTCTCCGTGTGGGGAGATGGAACGTTCTGGAGACGGAGGGTGGGGGTGGGGAGTCCGTGCTTCACGGGGACAGAGTCTCCGTGTGGGGAGATGGAACGTTCTGGAGACGGAGGGTGGGGGTGGGGAGTCCGTGCTTTGTGGGGACAGAGTCTTAGTTTACGGAGATGGAACGTTCTGGAGACGGAGGGTGGGGGTGGGGAGTCTGTGCTTCGTGGGGACAGAGTCTCCATGTGGGGAGATGGAACGTTCTGGAGACAGAGGGTGGGGGTGGGGAGTCCGTGCTTCACGGGGACAGAGTCTCCGTGTGGGGAGATGGAACGTTCTGGAGACGGAGGGTGGGGGTGGTCGCAGGACAGGGTGAGTGCGCTTCACGCTGCTGAGCTGTGCACTTAGAGACTCCTCGCGTGGCTCGACTTCGTAGTCAGATACGTTCTCACACAGCTTTGCACGTTTATTTACAAACACAAAGAACAATTAAAACCCCACTGTGAGGAAAAAAGACCAATAACCAAATTTTTTTACTGTGGTTGTATTTCCAGCTCTGGGCCAGATGGTCCCTGTTGTACTTTGGGCAGCGGGGGCCACAGGCAGGGCGGAAACGCGTGGACATGGCCGTGTGCTGTTAGTCAGCGCTGGGTCGCTGTTTGCTGGCTCGGTGACCTCCTTTTCCGGATCTTTCTCAGCTGCTGCAGAGCGTTCTGTCTGGGACTGATGCTGCTCAACTGAGCCGGGGGGTGGGCTGCAGGTTTCGGGGGCCGGCCCCTCTCGCCAGCCGTTTATGTCCTGATGGGTGTGAATTCCATCTAGTTTTTCACAGCAAATGAGAGGTTGGGTCTTGCCGCTGCTGAGCCGACCTTGAGCCTCCAAGATCCGTGCAGCCGGGGTGAGGGGTCAGTCAGAGGAATTGGGGAGGGTCCTCGGCCGCCGCTGGCTGGGGGTTCACTTTGCTGCCCCTCAAGGTGGCCACGGCCCTGAGGCTGCTCAGTGTAAAGGAGATTTGCACTTCAGGTGCTCGGCCCGGCCACATTCCGGGGCTTAGTAGCCACGTGGGGCTGGTGGCCGTCAGCCCGACAGCCGGAATGGACGGCGTTTCTGGAAGGTTCCACCAAGCAGCGCTGGGCCAGACGTTTCTAGGAAGTGCTTATTTGACGCCTGTGTGTGCACAGCCCTCCTCGAAGGTCCCTAACTGGGCTGTTTTACTGGAATTTCTCTTCCTGCGAGTCGTCGCCAGCGAGGCACCGAGGAGATGCTAAGTCGACTGCGGCCCCCTCCCACACCACCAGACAAGATGGGCTCAGATTTAAAACTTTATTTTAAGCAAAATAAATGTGCATTTGAAAATCTACGTTGTGACCCAGGACAGACCTCACCGCGTGCCTACACCCTCCGGGGCCCGACGCTGCCTCCTGGCCCCTGCCATCTGGCTTCCAGCGTGGCCTCCGTGGTGGCCCAGTGGCCGGTGGGGTGGCTGGCCCCGAGGTCAGGGCCACTCAGCAGGGGCGTACGTGGCTTCTCTGTCCACATGGCCCCCAGCACGCAGGCAAACACGGGGCAGGCCTCAGCCTCACCCCATGCTCCCGGAAGCTTCTGGAAAAGGCAGCCAGCAGTGTCCTCGGTGCATTGGGCTTGGAGCAGGCCTCGCGGGGCCTGGACATCCACGGGGACTGGACACGCAGGGCCCCAGCTAGACACACTCCGGCTGCCTCTCCTGGCCTGAGCCTGCTTCGACCCGCCCACCGCGGAGCCTCATGGCGGGCAGCCGGACCTCGGCCGTGTTGTTGCATTGGTTGGTGTTGTACTCGGAAAGCTGCTGGGCCAGGCCCTCCCCGGCCCCGGCCGCGGCCCCCAGCTGCTCCTCACTGCTGCTGCGGCTGCCCCGGCCCTCCTCCACGCTGGCCTCGCTGCCCGGCTTCTCCGGGAAACTGAGGCGGTGCACGGCGCCCCCGTCCGCTGGGGACGGCAGGTCTGAGGCCTCCTCCGCCTCGGAGTCGGAGTCATTGGAGGCCACCTGGGGTTCTGGGAGGTCAGGAAAGGCGGGAGGCGCGGGCGGGGGGAGACGGGACAGACGACGTGTCGTGACCAGGAGGGCCCTGGGGCCCACCGCCTGACATGCTGCCACCCTCACCAGGCCCGGCTCCCTGCCCCGGCGCCGCCCGCCCACAGCCAGAGGGGCAGACTCCGCGCACGGGGCGCACGGGGCTGCTGCCGTGTGCAGGGTACCCCCTCTGTGTCTACAGAGCACCTCAGAAAGGCATCTATCTCCTGGCTGGTATTTGCGGCAGGTCAGACAAGCTCTCTCCGTGGGAGACAAACCCCCAGCCGCGCGGCGCCCAGGGACACCGCCCAGCAGCCTGCCTGGCCGTCCCCACCGCTCACCTGGGCCCCCGTCCGCGGCCTCCTCCTGCAGGGGGAGGGCGGCCCCCGCACTCGCCTCTGGGTGCGCCATCTGCACCGCGGCCTCAGCCCGCTGCACGTACGTGCCGTCCTGCAGGTGGCAGAACAGGGCTCGGGGAGGGCCCGGGACTCGGGCCCATCCCTAGCTCTGTCCTCAGTGTGAATTGACTAAAAACTGAAAAAGCCTAAACCTTGTTAGCACCCTGTGCAAGCGTACATGTGATGACACCGAATCCCGTGCCGCGCACGGGCTGTTCTTGTCCCCCTGGGGCAGCAGGCCGGGCCCCGCGTGGACGCCAGCGTGTCCGGCCGCCCCTGCACACCCACAGGCCCCTGGAGAGGGAGGACAGGCCCTCCACGGGGACTGGAGCATGAGCGAGGTGCTGGGAAACCAAGCACGCAGAGCTTGTGGAAGTGAGAACCGGTGGCCCCGCAGCCGGGCAAAGTGGCAGGTGGACCCCGGGGGGCAGCACGCGAGCCCGAGCCTGAGGATGTGCTGGAGGAGCAGGATGGGCTGGGCTCCAGAGGCAGGTGGGGGAGGTGCGGCCGCAGGGCCTTTGCACCGGCAGTGGAGCTCCCCCAGAGTTGAGCCCCCCTCGTCGGTTCTTTGCTTAGAAATGCCTCCGAGAGGGGCACCTGGGTGGCTCAGTCGTTGAGCATCTCTGCCTTGGGCTCGGGTCAGGGTCCCGGGGTCCCGAGATCGAGCCCCGCATCGGGCTCCCTGCTCAGCGGGAAGCCTGCTTCTCCCTCTCTCACTCCCCCTGCTTGTGTTCCCCCTCACACTGTGTCTCTCTCTGTCAAATGAATAATAAATAAAATCTTAAAAAAAAAAAAAAAGATATCCAGTCATGTCATTTAACAAAACTCTTACAGCTGACATAAAATGGGGCCCTGCAGCGCACAATTAGAAAATCCATGTTCTGGAGTGCCTGAGTGGCTCAGTCCTTAAGCGTCTGCCTTCGGCTCGAGTCAGGGTCCCGGGGTCCTGGGATCGAGCCCCGCATTGGGCTCCCTGCTCGGCGGGAAGCCTGCTTCTCCCTCTGCTGCTCCCCCTGCTCATGCTCTCTGTCAAATAAATAAATCTTTAAAAAAATAAAATTCAAGGGCGCCTGGGTGGCTCAGTTGGTTAAGCAACTGCCTTCGGCTCAGGTCATGATCCCAGGGTCCTGGGATCAAGCCCGGCATCGGGCTCCCTGCTCAGCGGGGAGCCTGCCTCTCCCTCTCCCACTCCCCCTGCTTGTGTTCCCTCTCTTGCTGTGTCTCTCTCTGTCAAATGAATAAATGGAGTTTAAAAAAAAAAAATGCCTCCGAGGCCCCTCCTGACCACCCTGCTGAAACCAGGGCTCTTGGTCCCGGCCCCCCTGGAGTGGGCAGCCCTGGGCCCCGCCACCACCCTCACCTGGCCCCCAGGCACCTCCTCGGGCTCCTCCTCGAAGATCAGGCCATAGTGGGCAATGAGGGTCTCCACGACGCGGGCCTGGTGGGGGTAGTCGACCAGGGAGGACAGGGACACGGTGGCCTCGGTGGGCCTTGGCCGCAGCAGCGTGGGTCCAAACACAATGCCCAGGTTCCCTGGAGTCATCTTGTTGTCCTGCTCGACCTCCACGATCCTAGGGGTCACGCGGACTCAGGAGCAGGCATGAGCAGACCCCCCCCGGCCCCTGCCCGCCCCGGGCCCTGACCCCCACCCCCGGCCCCTGCTCGCCCCGGCCCCTGCCCGCCCTGGCCCCTGCCCGCCCCGGGCCCTGCCCCCCACCCCGGCCCCTGCCCGTCCCGGGCCCTGCCCCCCACCCCGGCCCCTGCCCGCCCCAGGCCCCTGCCCGCCCCGGGCCCTGCCCTGCCCCCCCTCCCCCCAGGCCCCTGCCCGCCCCGGCCCTGCCCCCCACCCGGCCCCTGCCCGCCTGGGCCCTCACCTGCGCAAGTGCCGCAGCAAGTACTGCAGAGTGGCCCGGTTCTCGGGAGGCAGGTCCTGCAGGAGCTCCCGCAGCCGGCCCGCCATGGCTATGGCCGCGGCCTCGCTCTCGGCAGCGTCTGGCCGGCCCCGCGACGCCGCCTTGGCCTCTGCCTCCGCCTTCAGGTTGTCCTTGGCCAGCCCCACGAGCTCGTGGTAGAGGCGGAAGGAGAGGATAGGTTCGGGCAGCTGCGGGGTGACAGGTCGGTGGGGTCTGTGGCCCCGGCCCGGCAGCCCCACCCCTGCCCTGGCTGGCGTGCGCTCAGCCCCGGCCCCCGCCCCACCTGCCGCAGGTAGAGTTTGAGGACGTTGCTGATGTCGTGGGGCGAGGCCTGTGACAGTTCCACCAGCTCCTTGCCGTTCTCGAACGCCTGGCACAACTTCTCCACGCGCGTCTTCACCCCGTTGACGCGGTAGATGCCCTGTGGGGGCCGCCGTCAGCCCAGGTCCACGCCCGCCCCCAGGACAAGCCCCACTGCCGCCCCCGGGCGGTCACCTTGGTGTGCAGCGCCCGCTGCTCAATCTCGCAGACGCACTTCTTGATGATGAAGGGCACGCCGTCGGCCATGCTCCGGGCCGCCTGGGAGAAGTCCTGGCCGAAGAGCTGCAGGCGGCCCTGGAGTTTCTTGTGGCCACACTGGATGGCCAGTGTCTCCAGGCACTTCTTGTGGCAGGCCAGGCAGCACTGTGCGGGCGGGCGGGCGCCGAGTGAGTGAGCCCCCAGCCCCCGCCGCCTCCTCCCTGAAGCCCTCCTGACCCTCCCCTCTCCACGGGTGCCGCGCCTCTGCCTGCCACTGGGGCCTGGGTCCTCCGATGGCCTGGCCGGCCCCGCTCCAGGCCTTGGCACCGGTGCTGACCTCTGCCCGCTCTCTCTCCCCGCAGGGCCCTCGGGGTCTCCGCGTGCTCCCCCTGGCTCCCAGCTGAAGGGAGCTTGCTAGCACGCGTGCCTGGCCATCCGAGCCCCGCTCACCTCCTCGCACTCAGCGCCCTGGAAGTAGACGTAGCTGTTGCACTCCCTGCACTTGGCTGGTGTGCGCAGCTTCCGCAGCCGATGTGTGCGGGCGGCCTTGGACAGCCCCACGTTGCGGAAGGGTCCGCTGGGCACGGCCACCGGCAGCTCGGGGGCCATGCCATTGAGGGCAGCTGGGGGTGGGGCAGGCGGTCAGCCTCAGCAGGGCCGGGCCGGGCCGGGCCCCTGGCCGAGTCCAGACCCCTCCCCTTGATGTCCCGCTCAGGGCCCCTCACCCTGCTCGAAGGCTGACGCCCCTGCGCTGCCCTCCTGGTCCACCAGCTCCTCGCTGGACGACATGGTGCCGCTGGACGACATCCTCTCCAGCTTCTTAAAGTCCCCTGAGCAGGAGACGGCTGTCAGGCACCAAGCCCCGGGGCCAGACCACGGGTCAGCTGGACCCTCCCCGGAGCTGGCTCACGGCCGGTATGCCCTCCATAGCCCTGGCTGCACAGTGAGTCCCCCCCGGCCCCCAGGCCCAAGCTGACGGGTCCCTCCACCTGAGCCAGGGCTGGGGTCCAGGCTGCCGTCCGAGTCTGACATGGTCGTGGGCCACGACTTGTGCACCTGGTGTCCACGCCCACCTGCAGAAGGAGGCGTGTCCGGTGGGGGCCGAGGGGCCACGGGGAGGCCACGCCCACCCACACCCCTGCACCCCCGCCCCGCACTCACCCCTGCGCTCCTTGGCAAGTGCGCTTTCGCTGGGCCCACCTTCCTCCTCGGGGCTGCCCGTGGCCTCTACCCCCGTGGTGTCACTGACGAGGCTTCCCTTCCGGGTGCGCATGACCGGGGACCTGGAGGGACAGGACGGGGGTCACGGAAGCATCAGCATGGCCAGCCCCCCATCGGGGGGGCCGCGCCCCGGGCACGTGCAGGGGCCGTACCAGGCGTTGCTGGAGACGTGGGGCTCAAAGTCGTAGCGCACGTCGGGCTCCTCGTCCCGCTGCAGCTGGCCCACGTAGGAGGCATACTGCTGCCCTGGGTCGTAGAGCTTGCTGCTCTCACAGAGCATCTGGAAGTGCACCGGCAGCGAGGCCGTCTGCATGTGCAACATCTGGTAGTAGGAGATGGTGGCCTGCGGGCGGGGCGGGCGGGCCGGCGTGAGCCACGCGATGCGCAGCCGACCCCGCCCGGCCGGGGCGCGGGGACGCGGGCGCGCACCGACTTGATGGTCTGGTCGCTCTGCCGGATGACCTCCTGGATCTGCCGCAGCACCGTCACCTTGGTGTCCTCCAGTTCCTGCTTCTGCGTCTTGGCGTCGGCCACACAGGTCCGGTAGGTGGCCATGGCTTCCTCTGCCTAGCCGGGGGCCGGGGGGGCACACAGAGCCCTCAGCCGGGTTCGGGCCCCGGCGCCGCCAGGCCCGCCGCAGGAGCCCGGGCCACGGACAGGGGCGGGGGGCCTGCCCGCGGATGCGCCTCTGCCGGTGCTGGGATCTGCCCTCCACTGCCCCTGCCCGGCCGCGCTCACCTTGTTCTTAGCCTCCTCCTCCAGGCGCCGCCGCTTGTCCAGGGTCTTGGAGGCGGTGGCCCCGGGCCCAGTGACCGCCTGCTCCTCCTCGGCCTTGGCCGCCAGGAAGCGAGCCTTGCTGTGGTCCTCACAGCGCTGCGAGTAGCCCTGCTTGGCCTTGCGCAGGTTGGACTCCGCCTCTTGCTGCGGGCATGGGGGTGAGGACGCCGGTCCAGAGCCATCGTCCAGCTGGGCCCGGTCCCCCGGCTCCCTCGCTGACCCTCAGCCGCCCCTCAGCCGCCCACACGTGCCCACAGCCCACAGCCCACAGCGCGACCGAGGCCCTGCCCCAGGGCTGACGGCAGGAGAACAGGAGGGACGCCCGCAGTGGGACCCTGGGAGGATCCTTACAGCCCCCGAAGCAGGGACGCGAGCTCGGCGACCCGCCCAGGCCCCCACCCGCCCCCGCCAGAGTGGCAGCCACGCTTCCGTCTCTCACTTCCCCTCGTACGGGGAGAACAGTGAGGCCGCCCCGGCAGGAAGCCAGGCACCCTCAGGGTTGGCAGGAAGAGCGCTTGGTCAGAAACCCAGTGGGTATTCTGGGGGCCACACTTCGCAGCCTACACCGTCAGAGGCTTACACATAAGTGAGCTTGTACAAATACCAGGAGAAGCCGTGCAGAATATTTAAACACAGCCTCGAGTGCGTGACACAGGACCCAGGAACCATGTGAGAAAAGACAACGGCTGACGCTCACAGGCTTCCGCCCAGAAAAGCAGGCCGCAGGTAAAATCAAAAGTCAAAACAATAAACCAGTTGCCAGGGGGGCGGGGGGTCTGTAGCTCACATCAGCCAGGGCTGAGTTCTCTAATATATCAAGAGCTCTGGCAAATCAATAAGAAGTAGGCCCTCGTCCAATCCAAAGTGAGCCAAGGACAGGAAGTGAGGGTTTGGAGGAAGAAAGCAGCTGCAGCTCGGGATCGGCTCGCAGGCTCACACCCTCCCCCAGCCCGCTGGCTCGGGGCGCACGTCCGGCAGATGGGCCCAAGCGGTCACAGACACCAACAGCTCAGCAATGACCAGAACGTCCACCAGCAGGGTCTAGTGCAACGAGCCAAGCGGCCGACAGACCGGGATGAGCACGCGGCTCGCGGAAGGGGGTGTAGAAGGCCGGGAGCAGAGGAGCGAACCCTTTGGGGGGGGCGCAGGGGGAGGTGCGTTTGCTGGCTGCGCTGGAGGGAGCTGGGCCTGGAAGCCGCAGGCCCTGTTAGCAGAGCTAGACAGCAAAGATCTAGTAGCTTTGGGAAAGTCTCAAACGGAACTGCGGGAAAGAGAAACGCACGCCCCAGACCTGGGAGAGCCTGTCTCCCGCCAACCCGACCCGCTCTGGACCACGGGACATGCCCCGTCTCCCCACTCCTGCCCGCACAGCTGGGGGTGATGGGCCTGGCGTCCATCTGAGGCGGAGGCACCGTGGCCAGCCCCGTGCGGTTCCTCCTGCCCCCCCCGCCCCCACCGGCGTACCAGCTTCCTCTGGGCACGGTGCCATGACTCCTTAATCTCCTTCCTGCGCTTCTCATGCTCCAGCCGCCTCAGGTTCAGGGGCTGGGGGGACAGGCCGTGAGCAGGCCGAGGCCCTGGGACAGCCACAGCCCACCCGCCGCCCACCTGCCCGCCCACCCGCCCGCCAGCGCACCTGCATGAGGGTCTGGGTCTGCAGCGTGCTCACCCCCTGCACCATGCCATGGCCATACTCCAGGTCCTGCTCCAGGGCCAGGGAGTAGATGGACAGGAGGGGCATGTGCGGCTGTGGGGGGGAGGGCGGCGGTCACGGGGCGGGGAGGCCACACGGCCTCCCTGTCCCCGTCCCAGCTTCCCCGGCTCCCTCCACGGCCATCAGCATCCTCAGTGCAGGTGGGAGAGCCCGGCCCTTTGGTCCTGCCGGGCGGGGCTGACACGCACGCCCAGGCCCGGGGACCCCACCTCCTGCATGAAGCTCTGTCTGCAGTTGTACACGATCTTCTGCACGCCTTTGGCAAAGTCCATCTCTGCGGGGGTCGGGGAGCCGTGTGAGCGCGGGGCCGCGGGGGCTGGCCCCACCAGAGCCCGCCCGGCCGCACCTACCCAGCGCAGTCCGCTTCTCCAGGTAGCCGATGAGGTCCTTCATGTACTTGGCCATGTTCTTGGCATACTGCAGTGCGGCGTCCACACCCCCCTCACAGCGCTGCAGCAGCATGTCCACCTCCTCGGGCGCCAGGCCGCCTGCGGGGCACCCGCTTAACCCAGCCCGGCGCCCCCAGACCTCCCTCCCACCCTCGGCCCACCGCGCGAGCGCCTGCCCACGTGCCGCTCAGAGGACGCTCACCCGCATCACAGTCGTCCGCGCTGGGGGCGGCGCCCTCGCTGCCCGGTCCGTACAGGTTCTCCATGGTCTGCTCAGGAGAGACACAGGTGCGTCTGCCCCCCTGCTGGGCTCTGTTCGATGCCCCACGCAGGAGACAGCCACGGCCCCCCCACCCTGGACGGGGGAGACAGGAGGGCCCCCCGGCTCCGACCCTGGATGGGGGAGACAGGAGGGCCCCCCACCCCGACCCTGACGCCAGAGGAGACAGGAGGGCCCCCCACCCCGACCCCGACCCTGGACAGAGGAGACCGGCGGGCCCCCCACCCCGACCCCGACCCTGGACAGAGGAGACAGGAGGGCCCCCCGGCCCCGACCCTGGACGGGGGAGACAGGAGGGCCCCCCTGACCCCAACCCTGGACGGAGGAGACAGGAGGGCCCCCCACCCCAACCCCGACCCTGGACAGAGGAGACCGGAGGGCCCCCCACCCCGACCCCGACCCTGGACGGAGGAGACAGGAGGGCCCCCCCGACCCCAACCCTGGACGGAGGAGACAGGAGGGCCCCCCACCCCGACCCTGACGCCAGAGGAGACAGGAGGGCCCCCCACCCCGACCCCGACCCTGGACAGAGGAGACCGGAGGGCCCCCCACCCCAACCCCGACCCTGGACAGAGGAGACAGGAGGGCCCCCCACCCTGACCCTGGACGGGGGAGACAGGAGGGTCCCCCCGGCCCTGGCCCTGGACGGGGGAGACAGGAGGGCCCCCCGGCCCTGACCCTGGACGGGGGAGACAGGAGGGCCCCCCACCCTGACCCCGACCCCGGATGGAGGAGACAGGAGGGCCCCCCCCCCCCAGCCTGGCCCCATGCAGCATCTGGGCTCCCTGCTCACCTGGCTGGGGTCCCCAGGGGGCACTGACAGGAGAGTGCTGCTGTCCACCTCCCCCATGAGGAACTCGGACACGCTGCAGGGCAGGGAAGGGTCAGCATCAGGAGATACGCGGGCCCCGCACCCCCAGCCCCACTCCGCAGGCCCCGCGGTGCTCACGTGTTACTGAAGGAGAGAGCGATGGTCTCCAGGGCCTTCTCAAACTCCTGCTTGTCAGACTCTTTGTTGCACTCATAATGGAAGGCTGGTGGGCAGAGACAAGGACGAGGGTGCTTGGCCCACGCCGGGACGCGACCACCCCTGCCTGCAGCTAACTGAAGGGAGCCCTTAGCCCAGGAGCAGCACGAGAGCAGTTGGGTCTGTCAAATTGCTAGGCACCCTTCAAAACACGCTTCAGACGTCCCTTCCTCCAGGAAGCCCTCCCGGGGCCCCCGGGGCCCTGACTGCCGTGCCCGGGGCCGGCTGACCTCTGATCTTGGCAATGAGGGTGCCAGCAGCAGTGAGTGACTCCACGGTGTTCAGCAGCGGGTACTTGGAGATGATCTGACGCATCATACGAAGGGCCTCACCCAGGTACTCGTGGGCCAGTGGCCGGCGGGCCTCGAGGAGGTCTGCTGGGCAGAGTGGTGTGAGCAGGGAGGAAGCCCCCGGCCCCAGGGAAAGCCTGCTTGCCTCCCCCTCTGAGCTCCTGACCCCAGAGGGGAGACTGAGGCAGAGGTGGGACCCCAGGGGAGGCACCGGCCTCTCTGGGCGGCTGGCCAGGTCCACAAAGGCCGGACCATGGTTCAGGCAGTCCCTTCGGCTCAGGACACTCTTCACGTCCTTCCGGAGAGCAAACTCCTGCTTGTCCTTCAAGTTGCAGTCCTGGTGCCCTCCTCCTCCATGCAGCCCCCCAGGCCCCTTTCCTGCCACAACCTCTCAGGGCTGCTCAAGGTTCTGTCAACTGCAGAGAGGGACCCGGGGCAGGGGCGGGGCTGACGGCCAGCTGGGAGGACAGCCTTGACACCCGTGCGCCCTCGGACCCCGTGCCCCGATAGACGACAGGGTCCCGTCTCAGCACTGAGGACCCCCGCTGAGGGTCCGCACCGGGAGAGCTTGGCCCCAGCACCCCAGGCTCCCACACAATCCAGGGGCAGGCTGGGCCACGCCCCTTCCCGGGACCTTCCTTCTGCACCCACCTGCCCCGGGCAGCCCAGGTGCTCCCAGCGGGGCGGGGGGGCCCTGCACCGTCCCCCACCTTGGCGCTCACTGTTCTCGCCCCCGTCACAGTGCCGAGAACGCCAGCTACAGTCGGCTATCCTGCAGGCCCCATGACGGCCCCATGTCACAAATGAGACACCTGAGGCTCAGGGGAGGAGGCCGAGCAGAGGAAGCGCAGGACTTAACCCACATCCTCTCTTCCAGGTGGCCCTGGGTACACGGGTACACGGGTGCCCCTGCCTTGTCCCAGCCTCCCACAGGACGCCCTCGGGCTCGGCCCCGCCCAGGCCTGGCCTCCAAGGAAGTGCAGGGATCGGAAAGGAACTGAGATTAGACAGTTTCCCCAGGAAGCCGCTCTGGCCCCCCGCCCGGACCAGATAACCCTGGGGGGCTCCCACCTCCCGCCCAGCAGGGGCCAGGCCTCTGGAGAGGCCTCTGGGAGACTGAGGTCAAACCCCAGCTCAGGCCCCCCTTTGGCCGGGAGAGCCGGGGTCAGGGCCCCACGAGGGGCCTCAGTTTCCTGATCTGTAGCGCAGGCGCCTGGGGGGGCAGGTCAGAGCGCCAGGCATGGTCCTGGCACTGCGGTTTCTGGGGGGAGTGGGCAGCGGCCACAGGCTGCGCACGAGGTGCCAGGGACAAACAGGAAGCAGATGAAAATAACTCAGCAGGAAGCTGGGCTGTCAGCGCCACATGGAGGAGAAAACGGAACTGCCATCCCAAACAGGCCACTCACGCCGGCGGCTCACGTGCCGGTCCTGCCCCTTGTCCCTCCTGGATCCCTCTCCAGCCGGGCCCCGGGGCTCCGGCGTGCCCTGCCTCTGCTCTACCATTCTCTATGGCTACCCGTGGCCCTCAGGAGAACGGCTGGGCTCCCTCAGCCCACTGTTCTGATGCCTTCAGCTTCACGCACTTCCTACACCAGTGACGCCCCAAAACTTGTTCCCCCAAATGCATCTCCATTTTATGTTTCTGAGCCTGTACACGTGATGTTCCCTCCGCCTCAGCGCCTTTCTCTGCTCCTGGCCTCCGAGCTCCTCATCCCTCAGAGCCCTGGCTGCCATGCATCGCCTCCTGAGCCTGCCTGCTTCCCTCCCTCCACCCTGCCTTGAGCCCGCAGGCTCTGAGATCTCTGCGTCGGCTCTGCCTGCCACCCAGGCCTCAGTGTCCCTGCCGCTTCTCACCGTCGCTCAGGACACACTCCTTGAGCTTCTCAAGCGCCTTGGCAAAGCGGCCCACGTCAGTCAGCAGCTGGGAGATGTCCTCCACGGTGTCGGGGCAGGGCCCCTCGATGGGGAGCTCGGCCGGGCTGGCTGTGCTCAGCGGGCTGCGATGACCCCGGCCCAGCGTCCAGGAACTGGCGCCGGACAGCGGGAAGCCAGCCGCGCTGGCATGGCGGCTCAGGCTGGTGGGCCGTTTGAGGGTGCCCGTGGCCTTGGCACTTGAGACTGCACTTGGTGGCTCCAGGCTGGGTCCAAGGGACCCCGTATCAGCCCCATCTTTCCTGGGCAGCTCCTGGGGGGGTGGGGGGGCGAGCTGGTGACCCGGTGTTCCAGCCCAGGCACGGCCTCAGTTTCCCCAGAAATGAAGTGGGGGCTCTGCAAGGTCTTCGGCCTGACCCCACAGGGATCAAAGTTCAGAGGTCAGAGGGCCGAGATTTGGTGCCTGCCCCGCCCACACCTGTTACCCAACATCCTCTTCCCCAGAGCTTTCACAAACAACGGTCTCTGCCCAAACCACAGCCAGGGGTGGGGCCTGTGAGGGTGCGGGGGAGGGGCACCCCACTTCCTGGTGGAGTCTGGAGGGCCAGAGGGGGTCCTCAGCCCTTGTGGCCCCCTCCAGGCTGTGCAGACACCCCTACTCCCTGGTGAAGACACTTCTGTCGATTCCCGTACCCCTAAGAGTCCTGTAGACCCCCAAGCTCCACAGACACCCCCAGGCCTTGTAGATAGCCCCAAACCTTGTAGCCCTCCAGACCCCAGAGATGGCCCCCAGGCCCTGCACCCAAGGGTCCTGTTTCGTGCCCTGCTGCCCTATAAACCTTCGGCCACGTAGCCGAGCTATAGCTCTCACCTCCGACGGCACCGCTGCCCCCAGATTCCCTGACCACCGCCCTGTGGTCCCAGACCCAAGGCCGCCCCCACCCTGGCACCCTCCCACCCCCTCCCTCAGCCCCACAAGCCAGCCCTGGTCGGCGGGGAGGGATGCGGTGGTCAGCCCCAAGGGCTCCTACCGTGAGCTGAACGTCAGGGTCCCAGCCTGTCCTGCGTGGCCCATGCCGTCCAGCCCAGTAGGGGCTGTAGCTTGTGTGAGCCCCCCGCCGCCAGCCCAGCATCGAGCCGCTGGGTCCTGGGCCCCCAGCACACGGCACACCCCTACGCCCCTGCCGCCTGGGTGTTTCTCCAAGGTCCCCGCCCGCACTCACTCCACAGAGAGGCTCACTCACCCCCGCGGGCTGTGGGCTGGGGCTTCCCGCCCGGTTCTTTTTCGAGATGGAAGGGGTTTTCATGAGCTCCCGCTTCTTCCTGGAGAACATGGTGGGGCCTGGGGCCAGTGGCCCGAGATAGGCGGGCTGGGGTCTGGCAGGCTGGGGGTCTCAAGCCTGCAGCTCTCGATAGTGGCTGCCTCAGGCCCACATTGTTGCTGGCCACCCCCTCCCCAGCTGTCAGGCCCACGTGACGGGCCCGGCCCTCATTGGCGGGCCCTCCCCCCCCCACAGGAAAAGGCCTCCGGAGGGAGGCAGTGCCGGGGACTGGTGACACAGACCTGCCCCCCACCCTCCCGGGCCTCAGCCTGCCCCTCCACACAGCGGGCTTGAAGGTGGGGTCCCGGGTCCCACCCCCAGCTCGGCTCTCAGGAGCTCTGCGCGTGCGCTGGCCCTGGCTCCCCGGCACATGGCGGGGGCACACGGCGGCAGACGGCAGGGGTGCAGACCCTCAGTCGGATGCACCCAGATGCCGCCGAGTGCAGGATGACATGCAGGGACCCGGACAGGTGCACAGATGGCAGGAAGCTCGCCCGTGGAACGGACAAGCCAGAGTTGCTCTCTCAGACCCTGGGCATGGACACCTGCTATCCAGCCTCCCCCACCCCCCCATCCCCCTTCCTCTGGTGAGCTGATGGCACAGGGCACGGCAGGCCACCGCCCCCCAGCCCTGTGCCCACAGTCCAGGGACACACACACGGACCACCAGGCACGCCAGGCAGCAGGACTGTGGGAGGCACGGTGGGAGTCATGCCTTCGGCCACCACTCACCAGCAAGAGCTGGGGCCTCCATGGTGCATAGGGACCCCTGCCTCCTCCTCTCCTCCCACAACCACCTCCTCTCTTCGTCAGAGCCCCTTCTCCCCGATTCTTCTCCTTACTTCTGGAGTCCCACCCCCATCCCCAAACCCCGACCCCTTTACCCTCCCTAACACTGCCCCCCACTAACCTCTGCTGGGAGGGGCGGATCTCCAGGGTACAGGGCCCGCAGACCACAGCCCCGGGTGCCAAAGCCAGCTCTCCAGGCCCAGGTCCATCCACAGACCCAGCTGAGAAGTCCCTTGAGGGTCCTTTGCCCACCACTCATTGCTCTGGAGCCAGGCTTCAGGCGGTGAGGGCTGGCTGGCAGGCTTCTGGTCAGGAGGCCTGGGGTCTGTGCCACTCCCCCTGGGCTCCTCCAAGCCGCTCAGAACATTCCCAAGCCTTGACCTCATGCCCACTTCATGACCAGGCACTCATAGGTACCACCCTGAGCGGCCAGACCCACGTGGGTGTCCAGGCTCTTAGGAAGTCCCCGAGTGCATGTGAGACCCCCCAGTGCCCAGCCCAGCACAGAGGCCCTCATGTGAGCTGGGGGTCCGGCCAGACTCTCACGTGCACACACTCAGGGAGGCGGGGGAGGAGAGCCGTGTTTGGCACGCACGCACGCATGGACACAGTTTCACGCCACGAGTTCTCTTTATTATTTCCTCCAGGGCAACGGATCCTCGGAGAGCCTGGGTCCCGGCTCTGCCCCCCTGCCCTCCCAGCATCTCCCACCGACCCCTCCGATGAGGGCGGCTCAGAGGACCGTCTCGGCCATGCTGGGGTCCTCCAGGACCCCGGTGATGAGTTTGGGGTGCTGTGGGCGTGGCGCAGGGCCTGCCCCGACTCCGGCCTCCTGCTCGTCGTCCATCTCCTTCCCCTGGTCCTTGGAGAAGTACAAGAATACCTAGGGGTGGGTGGCCGGAGGGGAGGTCAGCCCCAGCGCCTGGCCCTCGGCCCCACCTCATCCTCAGCTCCATCAGGCGCCGCGGTCACCTCCTCTAACGTGGTCTGGCTCACGGAGAAGTCCTCCACGCCGTGCTCCGCCCCGTGCGCCGCCAGCTCTCCAAAGACGCGGGACAGGGCGCAGCGCCCTCCCGGCGGCAGCTGGAAGCGCAGGCGGCGGCCGTGCGCCTCGCGCAGCTCGGCCCCCGGGAACGCCGCCCCCACGAAGGCCAGCGCCAACTCGGACCGCGCGGCGGGCACCCGCAGGGTCAGCGTGTGGCCGGCTCCGAATCTGGGATGGGCGGGCCCGGGGCTGCTGGACCCGCTCAAGGCCCGCCCTGCCCCGCCACCCGTCCACACCCCCCCCCCGCCCGCTTCCGGGCCCGCCTCCAATACCTGGCCCCTTCTGAGCCGCGGACTTGCGCGGCCTCGCCCTTTTATAGGCTCACCCCTTTCCCTCACCCCGCCTCCCCAGGCCCCGCCCACGCGAGGCCCCGCCCCCAGGTCCATCTCCGGCCCCCCGAGAGCCACCGTCCCCCATCAGCCCCGTACCGCTGCTGGCTGCCCCACTCCCTACTTCGTGCCTCCTCCACAGTCCATGGTCCTCGCCTCCCCTCAGGTTAGAGCCAAGTTGGCTTCGCGTGGCCCTGTGTCTGGTGGCTCTTCTGGCCCCGCCTACACCCCCGCCCTCACCTGCCTGCTCGCGCCCCACTCACCTGCTCTTGAGGTGCTGCGGGCTGCCCAGACAGCGGAACCGCCCGTTCACCATGATGGCCAGGCGCGTGCAGAGGGCCTCACACTCCTCCATGCTGTCAGGAGCCCAGCGCCATCAAGTCCTGCACTCCCCAGGCCGGGGACCCTCACCCTCCAAGCCCGGACACTCGCACGGAGCCCAGACCATTCTGTCCCAAGGGTCGGGTGTCACCGTCGTCGGCGTGTCCACCCCCCCCCCAAAGGTCAGGGCCACTCCATCTCCTGTGTCCCTGTGCTCTGACAGCCTCTCTCTGGGGCCGGGTCCGCCTCTCTCCCCAGAGCCTGCACCACCTTGACCCTCCGCCTTGAGCACCCGGAGCGGGACCCACCTGTGTGACGTAAGCACCACGGAGCGGCCCTCCCGCACGACGGCCAGGAGGCTGTTCCAGAGAAAGCGCCGGGAGGTGGGGTCCATGCCAGTGGTCGGCTCGTCCTTGTGGGGTGCAAGGGGAGACGCCATAAGCCAAGCCCCAGCCCTCCCCCAGGCCCCGCCCCGGCCCCGGCCCCACGCACCAGAAAGACCACAGCCGGGTCCCCCACCAGCGCCACCGCTGTCGCCAGCTTCCTCTTGTTGCCTCCACTGTAGGTACCCGCAGGTCGGTCCGCGTACTGCGGGAGCCCCAGGCGCGCCAGGCCCAAGCTCGCTGTCTGTGGGGCGGACGGAGTGAGAGAGGGGAGGGGCCAGATGGGGGGGGTCTCGGGGAAAAAGGGCAGTGAACGGGAGGGGGGCAGAGTGAGCGTGGGGGGGCTAGACTGGGGGAGCAGTGAACGGGAGGGGGGCAGTGAGGGTGGGGGGCAGACAGGGGAGCAGTGAGCGTTAGGGGCAGGCTGGCGGGGGGGCAGTGAACGGGAGGGGGGCAGTGAGCGTGGGGGCAGTGAGCGTTGGGGGCAGGCTGGCGGGGGGGCAGTGAGGGTGGGGGAGGCTAGACTGGGGGAGCAGTGAACGGGAGGGGGGCAGTGAGCGTGGGGGGCAGTGAGGGTGGGGGGCAGACAGGGGGGCAGTGAGCGTGGGGGGCACTGGGGCGACAAGGGGGGAAGGTAAATAAAGAGGGCGGAGCCAGGATGAATGAGGGACCGGACCGACCCGGGGCAGAGTAGCGGGAAGACCTCAGCGGGAGGTGCGGTCAAGGCCAGAGTGGGCGGAGTCGCGACCGCGGTAGCGCAG